AACTTTTACGAAGGAAAATTCACGAAACCAACAAAATCGTAAGAAAAATGTCAAAATCGGTGAAAAGTGATGTTATTTGTTCTTAAGAACCGTAAATTTCTAAAGGCATTTTACAATTTCTACAACTGTATTAGTGACTAGTAGTCAGTATATTTTCGTTTTACAACATCAACCGCACACACGGACTTTCCCAAACTGCACCCAACAATCTGCACATATAAATCTTTACTAAATGTAATGTTATCAAACTGGCATACCAAATACATACTATGGCGCAAAAACATTTTGACTTAGATTATAAGGTGAATTTATACAACACGTAAGTCTGAACCTACATAATTCATATAAAATGCAAGTACTTCCCATAAACGTGGGAATTTGATCTAGTGTTAACAATCTGCAGCAACTTAACATCAAAAACCTCAATCGAGAGTGGAAGGTTGACCGGCGAAAATCTAATAATGCTAAGGAGTATGACAAGTCGACATAAACCAATTGAACCAATCCAAATGTCCGAATCCTACTCACAAATAGATTAATCACCTCACTGAGTTTCATCATTCTTTATCAGCTGCAGCCTTCGAAGGGTCCAGAGCTGCCTCAGGATCGCAAACCTCCAAAATGGCTCGTCCTTCAACTTCCGACATTGATAATTGCTTCAGTACCTATACAACCAACTCATCAAACAACAGAAACTTTCGTAATACACGCTCAATGAAAGTGTTCTACAAGTGAACACAAATAAAATCAGAGGTTCCAGTAGTGCCAACGGCAGCACCTGGGAAGCTTGATTCATTGGATAAACTCGATAATCAGGTGCTTCAATCTGGCCACCAGCAATCAGATGGACTAGATTTTTCAGCTGTTCCATGCTTCCTCTGAAAAAAAGTCAGTGAAGCGATAGGTGCATGACTGCTATTATCTTAAACCTTCAAGTCAATTTTTTGTACTCACGAGGACGATATACTCACCTCGTAACACCCATGATCGCCAATCTGTTCTTTGCTACAAGCTTGATTGGAAGTTGAACATCAAGACCAGAAAGACCGCCAACAAACAGTACACCTCCCTCAAATCATTTGAATAGGGATAAACATTCAAACTTGAAAAACCCTACCTCAGCAAGGCATTTGAGAGAACGTGTTACTGTTCTTGGAGAAGTTACAAAATCAAACACAACATTCACTCCTGTTCGAGCTACATCTTTTGTACGCATTATCAGATATTCTTCGAATTCTGAAAGAAGAACCTTTCAAACGCTGTGAAACATAAACAATCGGAAAGCCCAAATTACTAATAAGCTATTTTGGATACAAGTGACTGATTCTTATTACAGAAAACAGGCATTATGAGCACCGTCAGGAATGATCACAGTTTATCGCATATCAAACTGCTTCATATTTAAGTTCTTTATATCGGGTGTTTTTTTCTGTTTCGAATTTACCACTAAAAATAAGAAAAAATGGAAAAAAAAGATAACTTAAAGCACCTCTGGAGAAAAAATGAATCCCACCTTTCCCTAATTACAAGTTGATGCAAAACAATCAATCCTCTCTTACGACATTATGGGACAGCCATAACACCAAATACAAAGATTGTTCAACGTAGTGCAACTAGAGTGATTTAACAGGAAAAACTTGATTTAAAAAAGAAAAAGAAAACGGATTTGTTTATATCCTAAAACACACGAGTTCGCAAAAAAGCCTATTTTAAGACATTACCATGAAAGTGACATGGTTTGCGAACTTAGTCTTAGATAATATCTCTCCCTAAACCCTTTGAAGGGAACGAAATATGCGAAGCAAAAGAAGAAAGGTATTTCACAGAGAACCAATAACCAAACAATTATGCTCATAAAAAACGAGATTTACCAGAATCATCCCAATGCACAACAAAATCAGCTCCATTTCTTTCAGCCAAACAAAGTCGTTCCTCTTTTGCATCAGCAACCATCAACCGGATCTTCCTAAAAATTAAGAAAAAAAAGGAGTAGCATTGAAAACAATGATTGTGAAAACTGTACCTGTCATGCTGCGCCACAAGAAAGTGTTTCGCAAGTTTGAGCAGCCAAAGACCAAGACCACCAGCTCCAACAATCAAAATGTTGCAGAAGCCCTTCGACTGTGAGAATGCTTCGACAATAGGGCGAGCCTATCAGAATTTGAATAAATATCAAATTCTAGTCAATAAGGATCGGCATTAACTCAACAGGATAACTCTTATACGTATAAAGACAATTTTACAACATCCGCAAAGAAAACAACTAATTTATTGATTAGAAAATCCGCGCTTTGCAGGTCCTAGTAAAGAAAAATGCGTGGAACACTTGAAATACCCGTGAGAGCGCATAACCAGGGAAAAATAGTACATTTGCATTCGAGCAGAACAGATGTATTGCATTTACTGCATATTATATTGTACAGCAGATCTATCACAGCATTAGATATTCAGGAATAGATTCCGGACTTTTGAAACAATGTATA